TATTGTACAATGATTGTGTTTATTACCTTTGCATTGTAATCCTAACACATGTCCATTGCTCTGCTCTTCCAAGTTTGCTTTATTTAGAATGAAATGCAGTTTTCAGACAAACATGGTGAGAAATGTATGTGTGAGGGATTTGGGGAGGGGGAAGTGTTTATATTTTGGCATGTATGTATTTTTATATTGATATTTCGATCTGCAGCTTCTGTGAATAAGCCCAAGTGATATTAACCGTTGGTTTCCTGCTGTAACCTGTGAAAGCACAGTTCATTATAAGTATAATCTTTTAGATTGTAAGCTCTTATGAGCAGGACCGTTCTATTTTAGCAACATCAATCCTGCTTTTTTTTTTTTTTTTTTTCCCCACACCAAGATATTGAATGTAGCTTTTTGTTGCTGTCCAAATAAATGTGGAATGTGTATTTGATCAATAAACATTTGTACTATGTATTTTTTTGGGGGGATTATTTAATGTTCTAATTGTATGTTGCACAGTGGCTAAATGGTTAGCACTTCCACCTAGCAGTACTAGGGTTGTTGGTTCAAATCCCACCCATGGCACCTCCTGCCTGGAGGTTGCATGTTCTCCCTGTGCCTGTTTCCTCTGGGTACTCTGGTTTCCTCCCACACTCTAAAGACATGCTGGTAGGTTAATTGGATCCTGTCAAAATTGGCCCTAGTATATGTATGAATGTAAGTTAGTGCTCTTAGTAAAGCGCTGCGTAAATTAAGAGCGCTATATAAGTATCTGAATTGTACTAGCAGCCCTAACACTTATTTTTGCTAGCTATATAATATGCCCAAATCTTCCTTGTGAGAGCGCACATGTGCAAGTATGTCCAAAATAACAAACTGAAAGCCCCCTATTGCATGACAAGACCATGTTATGTACCAATGAATAAGTCATTTCAATGGGCAGCTAGCTATTCTTTTTTTACTAATCCTCTTAACAGTAATAAATTGGCCCCCAATTTATGTTGACTTTGGGCCTTTACTGGCAAATATTTATTTGCCAATCTCATATACACACAGTATAGTTGCAAGCATACCTTCACCAATGCCAAATCTACAATAGAACTGCAAACATATATTTGCGAATGTCATATACACAATGGAGCTGCATGTAAAATTGCTATGGTGCACAAATAAACACCAAGATGGCTGTTGGAGGAGGTGATAGAGCAGCTGTCATACCGGAAATACGTCATGACGTTTGCGGAAGGATGTTTGCACACACCCGGAAGTGTAAGTGTATGGGAGTGTAGTTAGGAGAGTTTAGAGGTAATTTGCAAGTCTCTTTTTTTTTAGTTTTGTGAATTGTTCTTTTGTGGAATTCCAGACCACATCTGGACATGGCGAGATCGCTGTTCTACACGGAGGATAGCTGATCCTCATTTGCTGGAGAAACATTACTAATAATTGTATTTTCCGTTGTAAACATGTCCAATTCCTAGATCCATTGAGGTACATAGCAGAGGTTCAAGGTTCTTCCTAACTATACAGGTGGTACAGACACAAGCATACACCCAGGGCCACTGTTAGATATCATGGGGCCCTGTACAGCATACCTGACAGCCCCCCACAGCCAGAGAAAATATCCAAATTATATTTATGATAAAAATACACTAAAAACATTATTAATGGACATAATCCCAACCATATTCCTGTGAAATCTAAATGATAAAACTGTACTGTTCATAAATAAAGCTGTGTGAATGGGGAATTTTTTACTTTTTTTTTTTTTTCCTCAGCTCATTAATTTCAATGGCCTGCCTAATATGTGGGAACATGCAAAAATACTGCAGGCATATTATTTTAAAAGTGTGTTGCACCTAACTGTGCACATCTGCAAAGGGCATTGCATTTCTTTGCTGTGCTGGAAAATGTGTGTTCTTGCATGCGTTTCTGCACCACCAATGGTGTGAACAAGTCCTAAGGGCCAGTTCACACTATAGAAACAGTCTAGATGTGTTCCTGATGCGTTTTTGCATGCCCTTTTGGCATGCATGTTTTTAGTGTGTTCCAGTACATTTTGGATGCGTTTTTGGACACGTTGCATTGCATTTTTGTATCCCTTCCAGTTAGTTTGTTCTGCTTTTTATTCAATTTAATTTGTGTTTTTAGTACATTCAAGGACGTTTCAATGTGTTCCAGTACAGTTCTGTGCAGAAACAATGCAGCGTGGTCAACTTTGTTTACAGCACCTGCAATGCACTGAAAAATGCAAGCGCTGATGTGAACTATGACATTGACAACCACATAACCTTCTTTCTGTGCGTTTGTGATGCCGAAAAAGCAACTGAAACCACATGTAGTGTGAACTGGCCCTAAAGGTTATTAGAGGTCAGGGAACGGGACTGACCAGGAATTGTGAATTCAATCAGACTAGTGTGAGATACAATCAGCAATTGTATAATAATGTGAGATCTGAGCTGTAGCTGATAGAAAATGAAAACACATTCACTAGAGATGAGCGAAGTATTCAAAAATTCAATTCGACTGATTCGGCGAATTCGTGGAAAAATTTCGATTCGAGTCGAATATATTCGCTGCGAATTTAACTTATAAAAGGGTGTTTTCTAGGCTTCAGAGAGCCTTTATATTAGTGCAGAACACTGTACCTTTAATTTAAATGCCCTTGGAGTCTGCTGGGGAAGAGAAATAATACTGACAGTCAGTATGACATGCAGATGAGTGCCGTCGATCTTAGAATCACCGCACACTTCACTCATTTGGGCAGTCACGGGGCCAAAACCAGAGTGTGGAGCCACAGTGTGGCGGTGGAGGCAGCAGCAATGGGAGGCCATACAGCACCCTATGACAAAAATGGAAACCACCAGCAGTGTGAGGAGACCTGAAAGTGGCACATGGCAGAGTGTGGCGATGGAGACAGCAGCAATGGGAGGCCGTACAGGGACCCATGACACACTCTGACCTGCAGCAGCATGAGGAGGCGGTACAGGGGCCCATGACAGATTACGGGCCTGGCAGCAGCATGAGGAGTCGGTACGGGGGCCCATGACACACTCTGGACCTGGCAGCAGCATGAGGAGGCGGTACAGGGGCGCATGACAGATTACGAGCCTGGCAGCAGCAACTTGGACAGGAGGACGTTCAGCTTCTGCACCGTCGGGTGCGTGCTCGCAAACTGTTGTCTCTTGGAAACGGATTCCAAGAAAGACTGCTGACGGAATCCGTGAAGAGGAGTAGCAGGAGAAGGAGCATCTGAACGAGCGGAATATGCCAACAAGCGACAACAGGGGCCCATGACAGATTACGGGCCTGGCAGCAGCATGAGGAGTCGGTACGGGGGCCCATGGCAGATTAGGGGACTGGCAGCAGCTATGGGAGGCCCGTAATCTGCCAGCACCCTATGACAAAAAATGGAACACACCAGCAGTGTGAGGAGACCTGAAAGTGGCACATGGCAGAGTGTGGCGATGGAGACAGCAGCAATGGGAGGCCGTACAGGGACCCATGAGAGACTCTGGACTTGGCAGCAGCATGAGGAGGCGGTATAGGGGCCCATGGCAGATTAGGGGCCTGGCAGCAGTTATGGGAGGCCCGTAATCTGCCAGCACACTATGACAAAAAATGGAATACACCAGCAGTGTGAGGAGACCTGAAAGTGGCACATGTTTGGGGCATGATTCATGGTGGATTTAGTCAGTTGTGTCAGGAACTGGTGGTTTGAAATCCAGACTAATCCACGCCTGATTCATTTTCACAAACGTGAGTCTGTCCACACTTTGGGTGGACAGTCGTGTCCTCCGCGGAGTTACAATACCTCCTGCCGCACTAAACACGCGCTCCGATGCCACGCTACTGGCCGGGCATGACAGCCTTTCAAGGGCAAATTCAGCTAGTTGGGGCCAAAGGTCAAGTTTCGTTGCCCAGTAGTCAAGGGGATTGTCTACCTCGGTTGGCAGGGTGCTGTCCAAGTAGGCCTAAGCCTGTTGTTTGAGGTCCTGCTCCAGGTCCACCTGATGCTGCTGCTGCGGCTGCGGCTGGTTAGTAGTTTCCTCACTGCGCTGGTGAAGAAAGCTACTCATCATCGACTGCACACTGAGGCAGCCGCTGCTGGTGGAGCTGCCACTGCTCCTACCACCCCACCCCTCCCCTGCTGCCATGGCAGCGGAACGCGAGCGCACAGGGCCCACAGTGTCTGAGGATGGACGTTGGCGCAGAAAGGCAGAGACCAGCTGACTACATAGGTGGTTTTTATAGTACGTTATTTTGGCCTCCCTCTCAGCAGGTGTGAAAAAGGCCACCATTTTTGAACGGTAGCGAGGGTCCAACAAGGTGGACAGCCAAAAGTCATCCCTCTGTCTGATGGTTATTATTCGGCTGTCGCTACGCAAGCAAGCGAGCATGCTATGGGCCATTTGTGCCAAGGAATGCGAGGGACTCCCTGCCTCCATCTCCACAGCATACTGCCACGGTGCGTCTGGGTCCTCTGTCTCCTCCTCCCTCCTCCTCTACCAGATGCTCCTGCTCCTCCACTCCTGTCCGCTGAGTGGAAAAACCACCCATTTCACTCAATAATTCCTGAGCACAAATGTCCTCCTCTACCTCCTCCTCTTCTTCCTGTCCTGCCCCCACAGGGGTCATGTGGCGTTGAGATCTGTGCGCCACGTCTACCGCACCCTGACCAGCCATTGTTAACAGCATTTGTTCCAGGACGTGCAACAGAGGAATGACGTCGTTCATCCCATAGTCCTGCCGACTCACGAATAGCGTGGCCTCCTCAAAGGGCCTGAGCAAGCGCAGGTGTCACGCATGAGCTGCCAATGGCTGACATCTAAGTTACACAGGGAGTACCTTTATCCGCTTTTAACATCAGGAAATCTGTGATGGCCTTTCGCTGTTCGTAAAGGCGGTCTAACATATGTAGGGTTGAATTCCACCTTGTTGCAACGTCACAGCATGAGGAGTCGGTACGGGGGCCCATGGCAGATTACGGGCCTGGCAGCAGCAATGGGAGGCCCGTAATCTGCCAGCACCCTATGACAAAAAATGTAACACACCAGCAGTGTGAGGAGATCTGAAAGTGGCACATGGCAGAGTGTGGCGATGGAGACAGCAGCAATGGGAGGCCGTACAGGGACCCATGAGAGACTCTGGACCTGGCAGCAGCATGAGGAGGCGGTACAGGGGCCCATGGCAGATTAGGGGCCTGGCAGCAGCTATGGGAGGCCCGTAATCTGCCAGCACCCTATGACAAAAAATGGAACACACCAGCAGTGTGAGGAGACCTGAAAGTGGCACATGGCAGAGTGTGGCGATGGAGACAGCAGCAATGGGAGGCCGTACAGGGACCCATGAGAGACTCTGGACCTGGCAGCAGCATGAGGAGGCGGTATAGGGGCCCATGGCAGATTAGGGGCCTGGCAGCAGCTATAGGAGGCCCGTAATCTGCCAGCACCCTATGACAAAAAATGGAACACACCAGCAGTGTGAGGAGACCTGAAAGTGGCACATGGCAGAGTGTGGCGATGGAGACAGCAGCAATGGGAGGCCGTACAGGGACCCATGAGACACTCTGGACCTGGCAGCAGCATGAGGAGGCGGTACAGGGGCCCATGGCAGATTAGGGGCCTGGCAGCAGCTATGGGAGGCCCGTAATCTGCCAGCACCCTATGACAAAAAATAGAACACACACACCAGCAGTGTGAGGAGACCTGAAAGTGGCACATGGCATGAGACACTGTAGGACCTGGCAGCAGCATGAGGAGGCGGTACAGGGGCCCATGGCAGATTAGGGGCCTGGCAGCAGCTATGGGAGGCCCGTAATCTGCCAGCACCCTATGTCAAAAAATGGAACACACCAGCAGTGTGAGGAGACCTGAAAGTAGGCACATGGCAGAGTGTGGCGATGGAGACAGCAGCAATGGAGGCCGTACAGGGACCCATGAGAGACTCTGGACCTGGCAGCAGCATGAGGAGGCGGTACAGGGGCCCATGGCAGATTAGGGGCCTGGCAGCAGCTATGGGGGCCCGTAATCTGCCAGCACCCTATGACAAAAAAATGGAACACACCAGCAGTGTGAGGAGACCTGAAAGTGGCACATGGCAGAGTGTGGCGATGGAGACAGCAGCAATGGGGAGGCCGTACAGGGACCCATGAGAGACTCTGGACCTGGCAGCAGCATGAGGAGGCGGTACAGGGGGCCCATGGCAGATTAGGGGGCCTGGCAGCAGCTATGGGAGGCCCGTAATCTGCCAGCACCCTATGACAAAAAATGGAACACACCAGCAGCAGTGTGAGGAGACCTGAAAGTGGCACATGGCATGAGACACTGTGGACCTGGCAGCAGCATGAGGAGGCGGAGGCGGTACAGGGGCCCATGGCAGATTAGGGGCCTGGCAGCAGCTATGGGAGGCCCGTAATCTGCCAGCACCCTATGACAAAAAATGGAACACACCAGCAGTGTGAGGAGACCTGAAAGTGGCACATGGCAGAGTGTGGCGATGGAGACAGCAGCAATGGGAGGCCGTACAGGGACCCATGAGAGACTCTGGACCTGGCAGCAGCATGAGGAGGCGGTACAGGGGCCCATGGCAGATTAGGGGCCTGGCAGCAGCTATGGGAGGCCCGTAATCTGCCAGCACCCTATGACAAAAAATGGAACACACCAGCAGTGTGAGGAGACCTGAAAGTGGCACATGGCATGAGACACTGTGGACCTGGCAGCAGCATGAGGAGGCGGTACAGGGGCCCATGGCAGATTAGGGGCCTGGCAGCAGCTATGGGAGGCCCGTAATCTGCCAGCACCCTATGTCAAAAAATTGAACACACCAGCAGTGTGTGAGGAGGACCTGAAAGTGGCACATGGCAGAGTGTGGCGATGGAGACAGCAGCAATGGGAGGCCGTACAGGGACCAATGAGAGACTCTGGACTTCGCAGCAGCATGAGGAGGCGGTATAGGGGCCCATGGCAGATTAGGGGCCTGGCAGCAGCTATGGGAGGCCCGTAATCTGCCAGCACCCTATGACAAAAAATTGAACACACCAGCAGTGTGAGGAGACCTGAAAGTGGCACATGGCATGAGACACTGTGGACCTGGCAGCAGCATGAGGAGGCAGTACAGGGGCCCATGGCAGATTAGGGGCCTGGCAGCAGCTATGGGAGGCCCGTAATCTGCCAGCACCCTATGACAAAAAATGTAACACACCAGCAGTGTGTGAGGAGACCTGAAAGTGGCACATGGCAGAGTGTGGCGATGGAGACAACCCACCGACTGTTTTGCTCGCTGCCAAGCTGCCACCCTCTTCTCCTCATGATGCGGAAGCAATAGCCTGATGACGACGAGGCTGCCAAGTGCAATCAGCCTCATCATCATCAATTAGGGTCTCCGCCTCACTACTAGCCCCCTCGGCTGCGTGTGGGTCAGGAGGCAGACCTGTCTCTAGACCGGCTACCGAGCCACTCTCCTCGCCACTACTTCTTCGCCTGGCTGCTGAAGAGGCGGATGTCTCCCCCCGTTCCTGACCGCCCTCTGTTAGCTCTTCCTCACTGTACTGGATGACACCGGGAGCACTGGCCTCTGGCTGCGAATAGTGCTATGCCTCGACCCCTTCCTCTGCTGCCACGTCTGCTCGCTCCTAAAACATTGCCTCCTCTGCATGTTGTCTGACATACTCTTTAATTCAACGATTCTGTGTCCCTGAGTAACAATTCTGTGCCTGTCCCTGAGTAACAATTCTGTGTCCCTGAGTAACGTTTCTGTGGCCCTCAGTAACAGTTCTGTGTCCCTCAGTAACAATTCTGTGTCCCTCAGTAACAATTCTGTGTCCCTCAGTAACAATTCTGTGTCCCTCAGTAACAATTCTGTGTCCCTCAGTAACAATTCTGTGTCTGTCCCTGAGTAACAATTCTGTGTCCCTGAGTAACAATTCTGTGTCCCTCAGTAACAATTCTGTGTCCCTCAGTAACAATTCTGTGTCCCTGAGTAAGAATTCTGTGTCTGTCCCTGAGTAAGAATTCTGAGTCTGTCCCTGAGTAACAATTCTCGTGTCCCTAAGTAACGTTTCTGTGTCCCCTAATAACGTTTCTGTGGCCCTCAAGTAACGTTTTCTGTGGCCCTCAGTAACGGAATATCTGTCTGTCCCTAAAGTAACGTATTTCTGTGTCCTGAGTAACAAACGTTCTGTGGCCCTAAGTAACGTTTCTGTGGCCCTCAGTACGGTTCTGTGGCCCTCAGTAACAATGTGACCCTCAGTAACAAGTCTGTGTCCCCCATTGGTAACAATTCTGTGTCCCTAAGTGAAATACCTGTTTCTGTGGCCCTGGAGTAACGTTTACTGTGTCTGGTCCCAAGAGTAACAATTCTGTGTCCCTGAGTAACGTTTCTGTGGCCCTAAGTAACTGTTCTGTGGCCCCTAAGTAACTGTTTTTTCTGTGGCCCTAAGTAACGGCTTTCTGTGGCCCTCAAGTAGTAACGGTGTCCATTCTGTGTGTCCCTCTGAGTAACATTTCTGTGGCCCTCAGTAACGAATTCTGTGTCCCTCAAGTAAACAATTCTGTGGCCCTCAGTAACAATTCTGTCTTCTGTGTCCTGAGTAAGAAGTCTGTGTTCTGTGGCCCTGCAGTAACTAATTCTGTGTCCTGGAGTTACAACGTTTCTGTGGCCCTGTGGAAACAATTCTGTGTCTGTCCCTGAATTACAGTTCTTGTGGCCCTAAGTAACGTTTGTCTGTAAAACAAATTACGTTGTTGTTCCTGTGGGCCACTAAGTAACGATTTCTGTGTCCCTCGAGATAACCAATTCAGTGTTCTGTCCCTAATAACCATTCTGTGGCACTAAAGTAATGTTTCCCTGTGGCCCAAGTAACGATTCTGTGTCCTCAGTCACAATTCTGTGTCCATCAGCAGTAACCAATAGTCTGAGTCTGTCCCTAAGTAACAAGTTTCTGTGGCCCTTATATGTAAACGGCTTCTGTGGGCCCTAAGTATCGATTCTGTATACCTTCAGTAACCAATCTCTGTGTCTGTTCTCTACGTAAAAATTCTGTTGTCTGTCACTTAATTCCCGTTTCCAGTGGCCTTAAGTACCCGTATTCACCTGTGGCCCTAAGTAAGGACTTCTGCTGTGCTCTCAGTAACGAATATCTGTATCCCTCAGTAACAATTCTGTCTGTCCCTGAGTAACAATTTCTGTGTCCGAAGTTACGTTTTCTGGGCCCTAAGTAAAAAGATTTGTGGCCTAAGTTAAGTTTCTGTGGCTAGTAACGTTTCTGTGGCCTTTGTAACAATTCTGTGTCCTCAGTAACAATTCTGTGTTCTGTCCCTAAGTAACAATTCTGTGCCTAAGTAAGTTTTGTGGCTCAGTAACCAATCTGTGTCCCTAATAACGCAATTCGTGGGTTGTCCTATGTAACACAATTCTGTGGCTAAGTAAACGATTCTGTGGCCACCAGTAAAATATCTGGTTGTCACAGTAAACTCAATTCTGTGTCTGTCCCTAAGATAAAAATTCGTGGGCCCAAAGTAACGTTTCTGTGCCCCCTAAGTAACGATTCTGTGGGCCCTCAGGTAACAATTTTGTATCCCTCAGTAACAATTCTGTCAGTCCTGCGTGATAAACAATTCTGTGTCCCTAACTAACGATTCGGTGGGCCCTAAGTAAAACGTTTCTGTGGCCCTCAGTAACAATTCTGTTGCCCTAACTAACGTTTTCTGTGTCCCTAAGTAACGTTTCTCTGTCCCTAACTCTCTCCCTGCATATCAGGCCAGTACTGCCTCTGTTGAATGACTGGAGATGGCAAATGGAGAATTCTAAAATGGCCGACATTTTATAGCTTCGTACCATTACACTGTGCTGGCTGGCTGGCTGCTGATTGGCTAATGCGATCATATGTCATGAATGAATGCATTAATGGGTCAGCGCGCCTTGTCTGCGCGTCCTTCGCCAGGACATGCTCCCGCTCCCGTCGCCGCACATGTTCCGCGCCATTTTAGGAAAAATTTTGATTCGGCATCCGAATTGCTTCTTATTTTCGGATTCGACGCGAATTAAATTTTCCTAATATACGAAACGAATTCCACTTCGCCTACTTCGATTCACTTCATCTCTACTATCACATATGTAATAAAAATACAAACAATAGTTATAATAGGGCAATCCATATTTTGGCAGGGCAGTGAGACTGTGTCCTTTATCTCCCCTTCTAGCTGCTTGCTGGGTTCTGGTCTCACCGCCCTAGCTCAGATTCGCATTGCATCTTGGTGTTTATCTGGGATGGTGGCATGCGTGTGGCTGAAATTTGGGGTGGTGCTCTGGGTTGTTAGAGCTTCTTCTGTCTGCCCTGCCACTATTGCACATGCGTGCTTCCGGCGTGTTGTACTCTCTGTTGGGCATGTGCCAGCTTTTGGCGCAGTGGTACAAGCGGGAACACTGTTAGCTTTGTCAAGCCATGCACACCATTGCGGTGTGGGCTGGGGGAGGAGTAGCACTCTACCCATACATATTAATTGAAGCCTAATGTCATGGACTACTGGGCTATGTCTTTGAAGTGAATGGAAGTCCTATTTTGAAAGAATTGCAGAGGTAAGCAGATGACTATGTTATTGTGGCCAATGTTGGCTATAATAGCTTTAGGTCATATATTTACTTTGCATCATTGGGTTATTATATGCAAGGGGTATCTGAATGACTGCAGGAATACAGCTATATATCACCATGAATCAAACTCAATTACAAAGTTTATTGAGGTATACTATTTCCAGTTTATATTGGTGGATAATTGTTGGCATGTTGTACAACTATATCTGGAACTATGATGGCTAATATTTTTATTTAACTGTTTTAGTCTAAGGATATTTAAAGTGTCTGCCAATCACTATATTTTATCTTATATCTATGGAAGGTCCCTGCATTTGATTTGGTAACTGTTTTAGGGTATGTTCCTCTTTTTATTCTTTAGTTAGCTTTCTAGCATATATGACTGTAATCATGGGAATCTGCTAAGAGGGGTTCTTGGCATATCTATAACTGCGTAGACAAAGAGATTGTTAGATATAAGTGTCTCATCACTGAGTCTGTATGGGTAGCAGCGATTTCTGTCATGGGTTTGTAACCAGATGGACTTTACTGGCTATATAGCAGTGTGATCTGAGCTAAGGGATCTCCTTCCCTCCTTCCAGATGGGATTGTATCCGGGTGTTTCTCTCCTTCTTCCTGTCTCCAGTTCTTCTCTCTTTGTGGCTTAGCCACACATTCGGGATGATCGTCAGTATACATAAAGAGAATAATAGCTTTTGCCTTGGTATAGAGCATAAAATATTTATGCAATTTATGATGTATTGATTCAATAATGTTGTATATGTTGTATGATCTTGTCTTGTTTTGTAATATACTTTATGAGCTTTTTTGTATTTACAGTGTTCCTTTTCTTGAACCTTGAAGAAGCCTACCCAGCGACACACGTTGGAACATGAAACCTTCCTAGTTGTGTTTCCCAACAGTTTGTTGTATCCCAATTATGATACCAAACATCTACTTTGGTATGGGAAGGTGTCTGGGGGTTCACTGTACTGATTATTTGTCATCTTGTTTGTAAATTGAATTTGTGGGGGTAATCCCCTGATTTTGTAACATTTTGGAATAAAATATATAGATTTTTATGAAAGCTTTGGTGTAAGGGTACCTTCCTGAAGTAGATGGAGCACCTATAAAGTCCCAACATGCATTGTTTGCTTTATTGACAATCCAATATAGGTTTACTTGAAAAATCTCCCTTCAAGTTTTAAATTTTGACTGTCTGCTTGCCAACTCCTTCCACAGCTTCTTCGATTTCCAGCATGCTTCTCCTCTGCCATTTACTTTTTTATTTCTAAGGGCTACATATCTCATGGTACCTTGCTGTCTGCAAGCAGTGATTCCTGTATTGACTTCGTCATCTGAAACTCCCTCTCTCTGTAGTTCAGTAGGCAGGCTCTGTGAAATGTAACATAGCAGTGCCTACCCACAGCAAATAATGAATATGTGTCATAGAATTCAAAGAAGTAAATGTGTGGGGATCTTCACAGAGTAAGACTCCATTCACACTTGTGTGGCTCCAAAGTTGCACAATTTCCAGTCTGACTTGGGAGCATGACTTTGATGCAACTTTGACTGCAACTTTGATCCGACTTTAGAATCTCTGGATCAATGTTGCATCAAAAGGTGCATCAAAGTAGTGGGTACTCTTTACCAGAAAAGGCCATA